CCTGAAGACGCAACATCCACCGTGACAACTTCCCCCGTGGGTCTCTCGCTGTCTTCAAAAATTGTAGCGGCTTATGATCAGTTTCGATGTGGAACCGCCGGCCGAGTAAATAAGGTCTCCATTTGTCGACTGCCCATACCATTGCTAAACATTCTTTCTCTATCGTTGAATACTTTCTCTCTGTGAGGGTCAAAACCCTACTGGCATACTCAACGATTCCCTCGTCCTGTCTTAGGACCGCACCTATAGCGTAGTCACTGGCATCTGTGCACACTGTGAACTGTCTTCCTGGCACAGGTAGTTTTAGCGTCATTTGTTGGTGGTCGAGCAGCTGTTTAATTCTGTCGAATGTCCTCTGCGATTCTTCCGACCAAACAAACTTTGGCTCACCTAGTAGCCTGTATAGAGGGGCTGCTATCTCATTGAAGTTCTTCACGAAGCGACTATAAAACGCTGCTCTACCCAAGAATTGTCTCAGTTTTCTCTTTGAATTCGGGGCTGGAATCGTTTTAATCGTCAAAATTTTCTCCGGCAGTGGTTTAATCTCACCATTTCCCACTTTATGTCCCAACAGAGTAACATTCTTTTTGGCTATCTGAGACTTGGTTTTGTTGACGCGTAGTCCAAACTCTTCGATGCGTCGCAGCACGGCTTCTACATGGTTGACGTGATCGTTTTCGTTTTGACTGTATATGACGAGATCATCACCATAAACCTCCACGTTTTTCAAGTTCCTAAGTAATAGCTTCATCAGTCGTCTGAACGTAAACGGTGCACCTGCTAGTCCAAACGGCATGCGTTTAAATCGATATTGTGTCTGACCCACGATGAAAGCCGTCTTATCTCTATCACCTTGTTTTATCGGTATCTGCCAGTATCCTGAGCGAAGATCGAGAACCGAAAACACATTCGCACCTTGTAGGCGATCTAAAGTTTCTACCACTGTTGGCATGGCACACGGTCTTAACTCTGTCATACTGTTTAACTGTCGAAAATCAACACAGAATCTATACTTCCCATTCGCTTTTTTTACTAACAGCACTGGAGAGTTGTACGGGCTATCAGCTTCCTCAATAATATCATCTTTTAACATCTCTTGCACTTGTCGCTCCACTTCGCCTTCCAGATGACATGGAACTCTTCGCGTTAAAAATGACCTTACTTTCGGATCACTTAACGGAATTTCATGATTCACCTTATCGCAATAACCGTATGGGTCGCCATCTCCAGTGAACAGATGATCGTATTTATTAATTAACTCTGTCACATTGTGTACCGTCGACAGCTTAATCGCTGCTATCTCGCTGGTCTCATACATGTTGATATGCCCGTATTTCGTGATCACCACGTTCGCTTGCGTGTCGATTATTGCACCAATCTCACGCAGAAAATCCGCTCCTAATATCGTTCGCTGTAGTTCGGGTACAACAATGAAAGGAAACGTCACCTCGCAGCCACCAACAACGACCGTACAGTTCGATCTACCCGTGATACGCAACACATACCCGCCTACTGTTTGTACTGTCAATGAACACGGACTAACACTCTTACATAAATTCTTATCTATTAACGACACGGCCGCCCCTGTATCTATCAAACATACTACTTCTCGATCATTCACTCGCAACTTCGAATACAGAGCCCCTTTCTCAATAGCCCCCACTAAATCTAGGTTCATACGAAAGAAAGAACAAGCATTATACCGTCTGAAATTTTTTCTTTTTCGCCTTTCTGGGCAGTATCTTCTCCAGTGTCCCGGCTTACCGCATTCAAAACACCGGTCTTTTCTATCAGCCAACTTTAACGCCGCCACTTCCCGCTGCAATGCTTCAATTTTCTGCTCATATTCGTTTGGTTTTGGTTGGTCTATAGCGGCTACCGTTGTGCTCAGCAGCTGTCTGGTCACCTTCGCCAGCTCACTAATATCCATCGGCTGCGTTGCGTTAACCAGTTGTAATCGCTGAGAAATGTGGTCTGGGACACTCTCGATGAATTGGGAAGACAGTAACTGCGCTTCTGATTCTTCATCTAAAGTGGGAAGCGCGCGTCGAAGTAGATTAGTCAGTTTCACCGCCAACACTAGCGGGTCTCCATCAGGTCCAAGCTTCATTGACCGGAACTGCTGCATTGCTAGCTGTCTGTCTGTTTCGCTGTCAAACTCGGACACTAGTCGTTCAACCAATTTCTTCCAAGACGCTGTGCCATTTGACCTGTCTACGCTGTCATATGCAGCCTTCGCTCGGCCTCTCAACAGCGTCCCCAGGACAACTGCCTTCGCCGCCTGCTCCTTGACACCCACCAGCTCAGCAACGGCCTCGAAGTCACGTAAGAAGCTCCGTATGTCTCCTTCTTCAAACGCAGCTGGCCACGGGATCTTCATCTTTTTGGAGGCAGCGACACCAAATGTAACAACAGAAGACAAGGGCTGGCAACAGATCGTTTTATTACGAAAATCAACACGTATTTATATATATTTTATGTGCATTAATAAGGCTTATGCAAGCAGAAAAAGGCAGTCTTCTGATTGGTTGTTTCTCGGAAGTTAAGCAGACAAACACAGTCTTATGATTGGTTGTTTTCGATATTTCTCGGAAAGTAGAGCCATCTATCTGCGAATCATATTTGTCCACATTTAAGTTTGCTGTGATTGGTTGTTGAAACAGCCTTGTTCATATTTTCTCACGGCCCATATTAGTGACCTAGACATTAACGTAGATTAGTGCCAACCAATCGGCTAGCAGCCTGCTCTCACCACACTAGTATCCAGCAAATATGAAGAATAATTCCCGGAGTTTATCAGAAGCTGCCAAATGTCCAGGTCTAACTATACTGGACTTCACGCTGTCCTTAGAAGACTTTTAGCAACAATAAGCAATAACAAACGCGAAAAACCAGAACACAGATTGGTGACCGAAGAACCCTTTATTCTTGCACCAGTACAGAGCCAACTATTAGCTTATTGTACACAAAGTCTAGGAATAAATGTCATAACAATAAATCACAGTAATACTTCTGATAGTTCTTCTCCGTCTTCCAACGAACAGCGGGCGATGGAACGATGACTGCGGTATTGATGACTCCCGCCAAAATATAGAGTTGGGTTTGAGCAAACAAACATGAATTGATCGTTCAATCTTCAACCACATTGACACAAGGTTTCAGAAGATTCAGATCCTGTGTAGCAAACCTACTATCGGCTTGGGGCGATTTGACATCGTACTGGGATGTGAATATTCGAATCCCTGTGGTCTTACTAGACTTTGACCTTCTCCTACACAAAATAAGTCAGGCAGGTATAGGTGAGTCGCTCCTATCACAGTTGAAGTACTACTTAGATGAAAGGAAATTCTACACTAAGTTAAATCGAGTCCAGCCATCCTGGCAGAGCTCATCATAAGGAGTGTCACAGAGCTCTATCATAGGGCCACTGATGTTTCTGACTTTTATCAGTGACCTACCATACCGTCTAAGATGACCAACTCTTGTTTGCGCTAATAACATAAAGATTTGGAGAGCAACAAAGTGATTGGAAGGCTCACATAGTCTGTAGGCAGACCCAAAGCTTCTGGAAGACTGGGCGGTGGCAAATTGCATGACTTCCAACCTAAAAAGGTGCAAAGTAGCGCAATTACGCAACTATAGCCTGCAGAATGCGAGTTACACCCTATGCAATGAAAGCTTATCCAGCGCAACGTCGGAGCTTGACTTAGGTCTAGTTGCAAAGGGGAAGATGCACACATATAAAATTAGGTGAATTCACCCCTCAGCTCTTTCTGGGGTTGTACGAAACAATCGTCAGACCACACCTTGAAATGTACAATATCGCCACACTCCCATTGCTTAGAAGAGACGCCAACATTCTGAAAAGAGTCAAAAGACGGACAACAAAAGGAGTGATGGATATCTGAAACAAACCGTATGATGAACTGTTAGATGAATTAGGTCTCTTCAAACTTGGCTACCGTTGGCTTAGGGGGGAATTGGTTACTGTCTGTAAGATAACAGATAACCAGAATCACCCTAACAAATGTGGTCTGTCATTTAGTAGGTGTGAACTTCCTTGTGAAAATCCCAGAAGGATAGCTCACCAAAGGACAAAGACTTGAGACCGCCTCCCCTTCTTTTTACTCCAGGTTAGCCATCCCTGGAACTCTTCATCGCCAGATGTAGCTACTGCACAGCCTGTAGACAGCTTTCAATGAAGCCTGGAGAATCATGCAGTGACACAAGGACTGAGTCTAAAGGGCCTATCCCAATAAAGCCACATACACCATTGATGGGTAGAAATCTACATTCGTCGTTGTACTTCTTTACATTCTCTCCTGCTTACTCTCCTGACTACTTGAACTACTGCACCTACGTTCATTATTATTTACACTATATGCGTATATATTTTTATACGTATTCATGAATCAACTTCAAATTCAACTGTCTGTGTGTCTTCATATTTTCTTTATTTCTTTTTCTGTCTTTTAATCTGAATAACCTATAGTGATTACATCTATTATTATTTTCACTTTTTTTTGATAGTTACACCGAAAGACTAATCGGTGAAAGGATCAACTTCATTCACAGTAGTGGCAAGGTATTAAAACACCGCATACTACAAGCAACGCATAATTAGTCTCAGCACTACTCCTTTTGGAGTCATCAAAAGCTACGACAGTCGAGTGGCGGGACCAGATACACAGAAGTTCACCGAAGACCAGGGACCTCTACCTCACAATCAAAAAGCCAGCACAAAGAATTCAGGTCGGTTTACACTAGCTCGTAAAAACGATCCTGGATATTGGATCCTTCGTCCGATTTAACTTCTTCTCCTTCCACAGTCACATTTAACGTCTGCCAGACTAGGAGAAATATTCAATTTGAAGACGCATCTACTTTCATAAGAGTAGATAAATATTGTCTATTATACTTGAAAATATGGGTCGAATTTGTTAATATATGTCAGAAGTGTTATTCCATCAACCGTGAGGGAGTTGCTTTAAAAGAGCGCGATGCTCATCAAAGAATTGTAAGTGTATTGGTGTAGTTTCCTCTACATGTATTCCATACTTCTGTGATATATTTTACATTTCCGGAATAATATCCGTAGTTACTAATGAGTTTTATGTGATAATTCCAAGTGTACGCCACGAATAACTCTTCAAGGCTGAGCAAGAATTTCACACATTTGTTAACTTTCGTTATTTCTACGCAGTGTTCCCTCTGGTTGCGAATCCTCAAGCCCTATAGCATTCTCACCTGGCAAATTAAAGTGTTTTCTGAATACCCCGTAATATGTCTTCGACCTCCGTATGTGTTGAGGAGCCATCGCGAAATATTTTTCAAGTCTAAATATATGACATTTTGTAATGTGAACTCCATTAAATTGAAAATGCCTTAGTTTTAGTTTCAGATGGATAAATCCTTTTCGAATCACATTTCCACATTTTGTTTTATGAAGACGAGTATTGCAATACACATATGTATTTCCAAGCCTTACGGGTTTTGTAGATTGCTTCAGTGTAAGATTTCAGATTCAGATTTATTGTTTGAGGATAGAAGGCTTGCAGCCTATGTTAATCCTTTTCTAGTAGATTTCTGTGGTTGTCCAAACCCTTCTTGAACGAATCAATTGAGGTTGCAGACACCACTTCTTCTGGGAGTCGGTTCCAAGAGTTTATGACTCGATGTGAGAACCAGTACTCAACAGCAATATGATTTCTCCTTGGCTTTTGAACTCTCCTGCTATGTCCTCTAAGGTGTTCCGACCTGGTGGGAAGGAAAAGAGAGAATAGGTCAGGTCCGTAGTCATTATTTAAAATTTTAAACATTGTGATTAAATCTCCTCTCTGCCTACGGTATGACAGTGAGAAGAGATTTAAACTATCTAGTCTTTCCTCATATGATAAGTTAGCTATGCCGTGAACCATACGTGTTGCCTTCCTTTGAACACTTTCTAGAATGTGTGAATCCCCTTTTAGACACGGACTGGCGGCCTGGATGCAGTTTTCCAGTCTTGACCTAACCAGAGATGTGTATAAGGAGGTGAACATATCTCTGGTAATTCTTGTAAAAGCTCTGCGAATCGCCCATAAGGACCTGAAACTACGTGCAGTCACCGCGCGACAGTGTGCTGTAGTTTTTAAGTCGTGGCTAACTATGACACCTAAGTCCAAGTGAGTCTGAACTGATGGAAGTGTTATTCCCTCTAGTTCGTAGGAGCTCGTGCTTGCTTGTCCAATGCGCATGGTTGCACATTTTGCCACGTTGATCGGGAGCATCCATTCAACAGACCACTCCGACAGTTTGTTGAGGTCGTCTTGCAAGGTGGACGTATCACTGTTGCCCTTCAGCTCCCTCCAAATTTTTAAGTCATCTGCGTATAGGACCATAGGGGAGTCGGTCAGCAGAGGTAACTCATTGATATACAGAATAAAAAGGAGAGGACTGAGAACCGTGCCTTGTGGCACTCCGCTACTTACTGCTGTCCAGGAGGAGAGTTTTGAGTTGATCCTAACCCTCTGCCTCCTATCTATGAGGAATTCCCTGAGCCAGTCATAGGATGTGTGTTGTACTTTGAAGTGCTGAGCAGTCATACTGAATCCATTCTGTGATGTATTAGTGACGTGCTGTGAAGTCACTACTGTTCTCGAACACCTTGATTCCAGCAACGTGTTAGCTTCGTACATGGGAACTAAAGATAAGTTTTATGAAGGATGATTTGTTCACGATGCATTCTGTGTTGCAAAATTTCCCATACTCATCTGTTATTCCCTGCTTACAGAGTTAACAGTTTTTTTCTCTCCTCGCGACTGCCCTTGACTTGCAGGATTAGGTGGTAAAGAAACTTGTGAACCGTCGCATAATATAAAACACAAGTCTGGAATAGGGTAGTAAACTGGTCACAGTCACGTATTGTGTGACTGTTCTAATGCTAAGTAAATTCCGTAGTTCGTGTTGATGGAATGAAATAGTAACCTGCTGGTCGGCATTGAGGTTTTTAATCTGTCTATTTACTACGAGAGAATTTACTTGTTACATAACAGTAATCGTTACTGTCCATCCTCTTTACGTAAGCCGTGTCTAGATTTGATGAACAGCAGGTGGATGAGAAAGGTTCATTGTTGAATAACGACAGGTCTGTCTTGGTGACTATGTGGCATATTGATATTACTAGCTTTTTCATCGAAATTTCAGTACATCCTCGTTTATGCCTGTATGTTTGCATTTTTACTGTCCCAAATTCGTCACCTTAGTATATGACATATATTCACATATTTATGGATAACCCAGGCGTAAGTAGGATGGATGGACATCTGGTGATAGGATGACGATATATATATATATATATGTTACGAAGCTGTAGACTTTAAGTATATTTGTAGCGTTTTTGAGGCAGTTGACGAAGTAAGGCTAAAATGTTATTCCTAACTTACAATTTTTGTACCTGGATGTTATGATATTATATGACTTTCTAATGTTATTTTCAAATGGTCTGTTTTCACCATGCACTTACCTACGCAAACATCTCGTCTTTATTTGTCTCAACATCTATTTTTGAACTTTTTATCATCCCACTCATCAGTAGTACACAACTAGTCCTATTACATAAAACACTCAGAAAGCTCTTTATGATAAACCGAACACTCAGGTAGAATGTGACATTCTGAACCTTTTATAGTTAAATATAATAAATGACCAGCTATATTCTACTCCTACTTCTTATCCTGGTCAATCAGTTTTGATCCTTACCTAAATTTTTTAATAGAGACCTTGACTTGTTCTAAAGACTCGCATAGAGTCAGTCTCAAATATTTTAAACGCCGAAATATCAGTGGAACGTACCATATCATCTGTATCATTGATACCACTTTCATTCGTATCACTATTTGTCACCACTATTTGAATTGGTGACAACTAGTGGTGTCCGTCAGGGATGCCATCCCACTATCCACATTTCTATTCAATTTCATCATAGGTGTGCTAATGGAATTAACCCTAGCTGCTAAATTCAGCGACCCACGGATTGACTTATTACCAGGGAATAATCTCGTTGACTTAGAATATGTAGATGACATAGTCCTTCTAGGTGAGGTCTAGACGCTGACAAAACTGAGAACAGTCTTCCGAACATCTTAAGCTGAGCAGCAATCTTTGGATGTTTGGCATGCGATTCAATCCCGCCAAATGTAAGATGATACAGGACTAGACTGGACTACGTTGACTCATTTCTAGCTTAGAAATAGGGAGTGATGTGGTTGATGGAGCGCGTTGACCACTTCACTCATTTAGGAAATTGCATCAGCCAACGCCAACGGGTTGAACCCTGACCAAATCTCATCACGGATACAGAAGGCTCGTTTCGCGTATGCCAGTTTACACCGTCTGTGGAGTAGACGTGATAGCCGGCTGGCTGTCCACCAAATGGCGTGTATGCTGCTCATCATTCCACTTCCTGCTTAGTGTCTAAGACTTAGCCATTGAAAGTGGAAGACACGAAAAGACTGGCTCGGTTAGGACATGTTACGCATACCTGCCTAGCCATCGCCTTCCTCAACAATGGGAAATGTTAGCTGACATAGGATTGATGAGATTGGAAAAGAGGCAGTGGTGGTCAAACCAAAATATGGCTTTATAAGTTAATGAAATCCACAATAGTTAGTTTAAGCCACGTAGGAAGGTGTAGACTGGTTGGGATCCCCGGGATGGTAAAGACAATTGCCATTGCTTAGGATGGCAGGCGATCTCTGTCTCACGTTAGGTGGTTTAATAAGGTAAGTAATGTTGACGTTAGGCGTAGAGTGTTGGGCAAAGAGGGAAAATCAATCGACGAGGCTATAAAGTTACATAGACTAAGATGGCTAGGTCACGTGTTGCGCATGCCTAACCACCGCCTTCCCCGACGGGCATTGTTAGCTGATATAGGTTCAGGTTGGAAAAGAGCCAGTGGTGGCCAAACAAAAACATGGCATCAATCCATGAAATCCTTGACAGTTAAACTGAGTCGGTGAGGTAGGAGATGCAGACTCCCGGGTTGGGGGCCTCGGGACTACTCTAGGAATCAATGGCTGGAGACAATAGGTGTCATGGCTCAAAATCGTTGTCAATGGCTGGCGCAGATGTATTCAGTCTCTGTAATCTTTCATATTCCTTTCTACCATTACCCATTGTGTTTCACTCTTATACTTGTCAGACTGTATTGATTCTCTTCACTCATCTTCTTGTCTACCTCTGTGTGCTATTTGGAAGGTGGCAACTCGAACTGCTGCACTTCGGTGCCAAGTTCTATGTTGAATCCAGACAGGCAGACAGACAGGTCAAAGTAAATGAAAAAAATCGGAACTCGAAAATGATTTTCTGATAATTGAACGCTTAAACCGACTTACCACTTCCAGAGTCCACTAACCCTTACGTGGCTACAAAAGTAAGTACAGTCACAATATCTTTTGTACAAAAGTGATTCACTTAAGCTAGGACTGCTTAGTCCATAGTTGCACTAGTTATACGTGTTGTTCCTAGTGGACAGTTTATGATAATGAGACAGATGAGTTAGCAACCAACAGTTTTGTATTCTGATAGGCCTTCTGTCAGTAGCATCTGTTGCTTGTAATGCATAATTTCGTGTGGAATGATGAACAAATATCTTTTACCATTGCATTTTAGTGTTTTTTTTTTTACAAAATACTAGTTCCATGCTTTCTTTTCTGACAGATTTGAACATAGAATCTTGACTTATTAACCCAGTTCACTCACAATTCACCTTAAATTCCACTCAATTCAACCGTTAGTCTTACATGCCTCCCCCCACCCCTCGCTAAATAATTCATAACGGCGCCAGTCTGTAACAATTTCACTTCAAAAGATTGACTTTTCTTTGGTGGTTTGATTTCGGCTTGTTGGTTACGATCAGTAATTGTTTCATAGCATATAATAACAAGTATTTGTTCTTCAGATTCATTTCTGTTTGATAGACTGGAATAGTTTGATATTTTATTTGGCCGTGTCATATACTAAGTCTTCCTCCGATTTCTAATGCTGCTTGGTGCATACTACTTACTTTCATATTTGTAGGTGCTGATTTTAATGTCTGTCGTCGACATGGGGTTACGAGGTTCGGATTAATGTGTCGAAAAAGCGCATTTTTTATGCCAGATATAAGAAACACATTAAAAAGGGTTAAATGAATTAGATACCTGTTGCTTCAGTATGAAGCAGATTATTCTGTAATCCACTAATTTGGACTTTTCAACTCATCTTTCATCTTTTGCATTGAATTTCCTTGCTTTTCGAGATTGTGATGACTGAAAATGGCGGGTTCTGGTAGCTATCGTTTTGCAATGGTGAATATGTGCCTTAAGGTCCTATTTAACCCTCATTGTAGCTCTAATTAGCTCCTTACAGACTTTTCGCTGGAATTCTGCTCTAAGTTTCTAAGTCATAATGTTAATAATACGTGTAGCTACTTACATGGCTCCTTGATATACTTCAGTGGTTGTTATATTACGTGTACTATGGTTAGTAGGCGTAGCTAATTAGCATAGATTGACATTGGTTTATTACTTCGAGTGTCGGGTTTGCAAAATGGCTCATTTCGTTGAAGCATCTAATAGCTTTTCGCTCACATAACTCGTCAGTTTAAGTAGGCAGCTTTCATTGTACTGTGACATAGCTAAATATCTCGTTGCTAAGATTAAGACTAGATATGCAATTGAATAATATTTGTCTCAATCTTTTCGGCTTATCTGTACTATGCGTGCATTTGTCAGAAATATAGTTCATAGGTTGCAGCATTTGACCTCTGACCAATGTGTCCCGGGTTCTAATCCCATTTCACTTATTTTTGACTGGGTAGTGTCATCAGTACCTGCATAATAAGTGTGGCCCCACGCATTTGAGATGACTGAGTTTCTCTCTCTCTCTCTCTATATATCTATATATATATATATATATATATATATATATATATATATTAGCGCTGTTTAATTGGAATGTTCTTCCCCTTTTTCCCTAATCCGATCACGTCCTAGTCCGTGTATTTATGTGCGTACGATTGAATGGATACAGAAAACTGGTAGCCATGATGCAGCTACACCTCCAATTTGATGAGAACTTTAAGTCTGCACTCAGAGAAGAAATAGCTAAACGCGTATCTGAGATCGACAGTAAGACATCTTGAGGAAGCCTGATATAATATCCATTCAGCCGTAGAAACAGTGTTAAAGGCTGTTGATAACCTTACACCAACAATTTGGAAGTGCCAATGGATTTCTGCTGCTTCACCCGAACGGATAAAAGCAAGAACACTGGTTCAGGCTATCTCCTAGCATATTAGGGAACGCAATCTGTTCAAGCACAGACTAAAAGTCTTCACAACAGCTGTGAGCAGGGGATGAGTGACGAAAGACTATTAGCATTACGTAATATAAGACAACTACTTAGGCTTGTTGGGGAAACAGGTTGTAAAAGACAAACGATAAGTGGGGCAATCTCCGAGAAAAGCGGCGTTTCAAGATAGAAGACTGCAGCGTTTGTGGAAACACTGAGAATCGATCGAACTAGTCTAAAGCAGAGTTCAGTCCATCCAGCATCCAACGCCTACCTGAATGCGATATCGACATGGGTCATCTGACTATAAATGAGGTTGAAAAGGATGTTTCTAATCCTAAACTATGCAAAACATCAGCACCTAATGGCATGACTCCAGAGATGTGACGAGCTGTTATCTGGGTTAACTAAGGTATCAGGTGATGTCCGGCAGTCAGAGATAATTCCGTTAGACTGGTGTAAACCATTGACTACCCTAGTTTATACGAAGGGAGACAAGTCTTGCTGTGATAATCATAGGGGAATGATCGTGATTAATATATTGTTTAAAGTTCTGGCTTCAGTAATCGAGCGTTGAATGAGCAGTGTTCGGGAGAAAGGATCTCGAAAAAGCCGGTCACGGTTTTCACCTTTCGGTAGATTCTGAAACAGACATAGTCACTGGTGTCTGACACTTGCTATATTTTTTTCATCTGAAGGTAGCATTTTACTGTGTCAACCAGGTGGTGTAACAATGTTTGGCCATGAAGGAAGTACCGAGAAAATATGTATAGAACTCACCCAGCCGGAGCTTATGTATAGTTGTCATCTGAGATGATGACATCTGTTAGTGTGCGTCATGGATGCCTACTGTTCTGTTTGTTTACTCTCAACATAGATTTACTAAAAAGACTGACCCCAATTGGTTTTAATGAGATTGCCCTGTTATTCAGGGAGAGTATAGTTGATATAGAGTATGTGTACGATAGTATCTTTCTGTCTGTCTGTCTGTTTTTCGACATAGAACTTTGCACATATGTGCGTCAGTTCAAGTCGCCACACTCCCTCCATGTAGCACACAAAGCAAGAGAAGAAAGTGGAAGAAATGCATAATAGAGATAGTAAACAGAGGTGTGAGACAAAGAAATATCCTTCTAGATAAGAACGTTGAAAAGATACAGAGTCTTCTGAATACATTAGGGAGAAATATTTAGATTTCAGGCATTAGATTCCACCCTGTCAAATGTGAGATGATGACTCACGGCCCAACTACACTGACTCCTTCAAATAAACACTCGTCAAGATTTGACAGAATAGTTCTAAAATATTTGAGCAGCTAGTGAGTAGCAGACATTTGTAAAAAATTATATTTGTAAAATCTCAGAGAGATTGAAATGAGTAATATAAACCTCTGTTATGTTAATTTCGGTTAATTTTCCTGAAGAAGTTCGGACCAGATTGCCGAACGAAACGCTGGAATTACTCATTTCAATCTCGCTGAGATTTTACAAATATAATTCTTTTACAAATGTACACTGACTCCTATTTTAAGGATAGAAGTGAAGTGATTGAACGTGTTGACTACTTCAGTTATTTAGGAAGTTGCATTAACCCTAATGCACTGATTCCCGACAAAATTTCAGCATGGGTACAAAAGGCTCGTGTAGCCTTTGCCAATTTAGTCAAAGATGACTACTGTCTTTTTCGAATCATATTTAGTCGTTTCTCGAACTATTTGGTTGCCTAATCATCGATTCAACATTTCTTTTTCCTAATTTCTATCCTAATAGCGCAAATTTAACTGACTGTCAGCAAATCCATCTGAGTATTAATTTGGTTACCCCCTTGACTATGTACACTTCAAAACCTTGTTCTATTTTTTTTACGAGTTGATCACGGATTGATATCAGTTAGAGAACTATTGAAAACCAGGAAGTACTGGACAGCTGCTGTTTCATCCTAGTTTGGGAATCATCGGAAGTACGCACCCACTGCCAGGGTTCGAACCCAGGACCTCCCGGTTACAAGGCAAGCTAGCTCGTATACCATTCAGCCACTGGGACCCGATTCAATGGTCAGCCTATGAATTCTAACTTCTACCAATTCGTGATTTAGCGTAACCCCACCATTGTCGTTGGTGGGACATCCATCCACACACGTGACATCTAATTGGACCTCACTAGTCGCGACTTCTCACTAGAACTCCAGGAAACTCCATCCTGTAGCAAGTCAGTCACTAGCGAGCATCAGATTAATTTTCTATAGTTTGGTTTGTAAGGGTTAGTGATGTTTTTATTTGACCTAAATAGAAATCTATCTCATCCGACTATGTTTATATTTATTTGTTAGTTAGTGCTCATAACTAGGTGTTATGTTTTTCTTAAAGACAGATATTTATTTCATTTTTAACTTCTTTTCTTTTCGACCCATAGTCGTATCATTCTACCCTTGACTGTTGATGAATATCATGTTGGCCAGTTGTGGGCAGTTGCAGAGGCGTCGAAAAATGAAACTGGCGGCGGTGAAGGCATAGAAGTCTTAGTCAATGAACCATTTAACAGTGAAGTCAACCCGCCAGAATCACCTTTAATTGCAAATGGCAAAGAATACTTCACTGGACAGTATACACATAAACGCTTTTACCTAGCGAGAAAAGTTCCTGGTTATGTACGTCTTCTTGCACCGAAAGGATCGCTAGAAGTTGATGAAAAAGCATGGAATGCATTCCCTTATTGTCGTACAGTTTTACAGGTAAGTGCCAAAAATTACCTTTTAAGTGTTTTTCAGAATCCTAAATATATGCAAGAAAGTTTTACTCTAATGATTGAGTCTATGCATGTACAGGATAAAGTTGATGTGGAAAATGTAAGTCATCATAGCTGTTTAAAAATTTATCAAAGTGTTTATTCAGATTCATAATCTCCCACCCAAGCTTTTAGCTCAACGTGAAGTGATATATATTGATATAGCAAATGATGAATTATACACTGCATCCGATTATGATCCATCCTGTGATCCTAGAATATATCAATCAGTGAAAACTGGTCGAGGTCCCCTGGTTGGTCCTAAATGGTGGGAAGTTAGTTTATATTATGCTATTCACAAATTGTATCATTTAAACAAATTTTTTTAATTTAATTAGAATACAGATCTACCAATCATGTGTGCTTACAAATTGGTAACATGTGAATTTAAATGGTGGGGTATACAAGGCCGAGTGGAAACTCTAATCCAGAGTGTATGTGTTGACTATATAGTTTTAATTCCGCATTTAACTTTGTTTTTGTATGTAGCAAGAAAGACGAATCTTTCTTAATTTCAATCGTCAAGTTTTCTGTTGGCTTGACAAATGGTACGGGCTTTCTATGGATGATATTCGAGATGTTGAGGAGAAAACTAAGAAAGAATTGGATCAGGTTAGTGTGATACTTACTTTTTCTGATAAATTTGTCATATAATTGAATAATTTCCACTGGCAGGTTAAGAATACACAGTACATATCCAGTGAAAAGATTCTTCTCAAGGAATTCATTATCAAGCTGATCATATGTATCTATCTTCTATCTCCCATGTTAGGTGGTGAGTATAATAGCGTGAGTAATGTCGAGGTTGAGCGTCGAGTGCTAGGTAAGGAGGGGAAATCAGTCTATGAGGCTGTGAAGTTACATCGATTCAGGTAGTTAAGACATGTGTTACGCATATCTGCCTAGCCGTCGCCTTCCTCGACAATGAGCAATGTTAGCTGACATTACTGAGAGGGATCAGGTTAGAAAAGAGCCAGCGGTGGTCTAACCGAAACATGGCTTCTTCAGTCAATGAAATTCATAATAGTTAGTTTAAGCCACATAGGGAGGTGTTGACTGCTGTCTGTGCTTTTGGAAATGTGTGGGTGGTTGTTACTTCCCAGCTGCCCACACGTGGAAGTTGACTGATTCTTCGGGTACCTGAAACAGAAAGTGGGTTAGTGTTCCGTGACCGTAGAGCCCAGGGGAAAAAACCGCTTATTATCGGCCGGTTACACACGGTCTGTATGAAGTGCTTTCTGGGATTGGTTCCGTATAAATAAACTTAGTTTAAATCGACCAAAGGGCGGTCCTCTTCGTCCTCCTTTATGGCTGTGAGACCTGGCTATTGAGAGTGGAAGACATGGAAAGATTAGCTGTATCTGATCATAGGTGCCTTCGTTCTATCTCCCGTGTGAAGTGGTTGGTGTAATAGGGTGAGCAAGATTGAGGTTAGGCTTCAGTCGAGTGTTAGGTAAGGAGGGGAAATCAATGGACGAGGCTGTGAGGCTACATCGACTGAGATGGTTAGGACATGTGTTACGCATACCTGCCTAGTCATCGCCTTCCTCGATTGACGGGAAATGTTAGCTGATATAGGGTCAGGCTGGAAAAGAGCTAGCGGTGGTCAAACCAAAATATGGCTTCATCAGTCAATAAAATCCACAACAGTTAGTTTACGCCAGCCAAGTAGGAAGGTGTAGACTTCCCGACTGGTTGGGGTCCTCGGGACAGTAAAAACCGATGAAGGCTGGAAACAATTGGTGATATGGCTCAAAGTGATCGTTCTCAATGGCTGGCTGGCGCAGATGAATCCACTCATTGTGACTTATGATTCCCAATGAAACTGTTTTGTTTTTCGTTACTACTATTCCTTTGTCTCACATCTCTGTTTACTGTCTCTATTATGCATTTCTTGTACTTTCTTCTGTTGCTTTGTGTGCTACATGGAGGGAGTGTGGCGACTCGAACTGTCGCACATATGTGCAAAGTTCTATGTCGAAAACAAACAGACATACAGTTGACTGCTGTCTAGTTTGGGGTCCTTCGGTCAAAATTTTAGTTCTCAGTGGCGTAAATGCATTTACTCTTTGTGACTTGTTATGTTCAATAAAACTCCTGTTTTTACGTCACTCACGCTTCTGTTTGTTATTTCTTTTTACTCTCCTCTTTTGATTTGTGTGCTACATGGAAGGAGAGTGGCAACTCGAACTGCTGGATATCAGTGCAAAGTTCTATGTTGAAAATAGTCAGTCAATCAGACAATCAACTGTCAATCTGTACAATCGTATATATCTGTGATTTCCTAAGAAACTATATCCCGTGAGGAAATTTAACAAACAAACACTGTGAACACTTAAAGCAATAATGTGAAATGCGATAAAGCAAATAACGTCATATTATCTAAAATGGTTCATAGAATGCATAGATCCTCGGGGAAGAGAGGTAAAATTAAAAGGATTATTAGGCAAATAACACTGTACGTAACATTTTGAGAAGTTTGATAAGATAGATTTTCCCTACCGATAGCTGCTACCTTGTCGTGGTAGTCAGGCTTGCACATCGCGATGACCTAACAAGCTACACTGGTTGGAATCAATGTTCCTGCATATCGTACGATGCCAGGAAGGTTGTTAAGATAGTGATTAGACTAAAAGCAGTTACCGGCATCGTGTAAGAATCTTTCTTACACTCTGCTGGGGGGTCTGAGGGCGAAGTCGTACTTCTGGGGAACAGTGGTGTAACAGAGAGGGGGTAAGAAAAGGTCGATCCCAAAAATTGTTCATCCCGACTTACCCTACGGTGGTGCGCAACCGGCGGTAAGTTTACTAATACACAACCAAACCAAGTAACCAGTTCATACAGGCCGTGTGTGACCGGCCGGCGTTAAGCAGCTGTCCCCTGGGCCCTGTGGTCACGGAACACTAACCCACTTTCTGTTTCAGGTACCCGAAGAATCAATGAACTTTCACGGTGTGGGCAGCCGGGAAGTAACAACCGTCCACACACTTCCAAAAGCACACGAAGCCTTCCTGAGCATCATTCCCCCTGATAATATAGATTTTAATATTGCCAAAACGAATATATGTATATTGATTTCAAGTAAGACACGGGACAAGTGAAACAATCCCGGAAACTGTTCATAGTGAAAAGAGAAATGGTAAAAATCCTAATAATGATGGGAAAGGTACATAGATCAAATAATCAAAACAAAAAATCTAATAGGTAAATGTCTTTATTCCCGCCCTTCTATTCTACAATCAGGGTAGAAATAGGGAAATGTTACAGTGGGGGAGTTATTGTGTTATTGAAAAAAGGAAAAAAAAGGAATGCTAGATAAACAATCCAAATCGGGCCATTAACTCAGTTTTCATGAGTTAAGAATTCAGAGGTGATGTTCAAGCTTGCTCAGGCTTGCTCAAAATTGTCATTCTTTGCAGCTAAATGCGAAAAGATCTTCGCTGGCCGTAAGTGATTCTCTGTCTCTGTAAAAGATAAGCTCCATTTTTCTAGTTGCCTGTGTTTGCGTCTATCTGTCCATTTGCTCTTATGGAGCAAAGTACATCGGCCGTACCCAGAGAATATACCTTCTACAAAAATACGACCGCGCATCCTAACTTCGTTTTACAAGAGAGAGAGAGAGAGAGAGAGAGAGAAAAAAGTGGGTATGAGAAACTCTATTCTAGAACACCTAGTCGATTTTCGTCACTCCACCAACCCTACCATGATTTTAAGGTTAACTTTTAAATTCTCGCTAACTTCCAGAGTCTTCTTCCTTCCAAACTTTTAAGGACCGTGGAAACCTTGACCATTCATGAATTCAAGCTAGATGTTTGTGTACAAAAGGGAAGGGTATGCACAGGCCTTACTTCCACTTTGTACAAGTATTCTTTATTTCCTAGGTGTATCGAGTAATCTTTCATGTTGGAGGATTCCATCATGAGCTGACATCAGTTGCAGAACCTGGGATTACTGGACAGCTGTTTCGTCCTAGTTTGGGACTCTTCACAGTACGCATCCACGGCCAGGGTTCGAACCCAGGACCTGGTTACAAGGCGAGCGATCTCGGTTGACCATTGAGCCACTGGGACCCGATCCAATGACCAGCTAGCCCATGAATTCCAACTTCTACCAATTTATGACATAGCACGACCACTTCGGGCAATGTCTTTGATGAGTTACTGCCTCACCTTCAGCCTGCTGCAGCCTACTGGTCACGGCTTCCCACTAGAACCCCAGGTTAACTACCTGAATAGGGCCAGTCTCTAGTGAGCATCAGATTAATTTTAAAGTATTGGTTTTGTAGGAAATTTTGGTTTGATTGATTGGTTGGTTTCGAACCCTGGTGGGTGCGTACTGATGAAGAGTCCCAAACTAGGCTGACGAAACAGCTGTCCAGTACTCCCCCAGTTGGTTTTCCGATGGTTCTCTAACTGGTACCAGCTCATGATGAAATCCTCCATACAGTCAAACAAAATCTCTACAAAACCAATACCTGAGAATAATATTTCATGTAATGAGTTATTGTTGTACTAGCTTAGCTAACTAAACTATCTCCCAGGCTCCACAGATTTTAATCGGACTCTGGCTTTGTTTATTTGTGCCCATAGTTTCTTGTTGGTGATTCTTTCCAGCCCGGCCCGGCCATCTGATCTTCAGTATAGATCCAGCGAAGAGAGTTGCTGGTTGATAAAGGTCTGGTCTGCAATAGCCTGTTGGTTGGAAATATTCTTTGTGACCCGCCCGCCAAGTTTCTGATCCGTATAAAGGAGCTGACTGACTTGATGTTTGTATTGAAAATCCGACTGAATTTTGTTGTTGATGCTGGCTGAGTGACGAAGATTTCCAGATTGGTTTCAGGTTGATGAATGTGTTTCTCATTCGCCTTCCTAATTCTCACTCGATTTGACATCCTCTTGTGTTCCTCCTGTAGTTGAGACAATGCTCCCTGGATGATAAGTGAGTGAAGTAACCTGTTTCAAATCCCCCCCCGTTGGTGGTGATTGGCGCTGGATGTTGCTTCTGTTGTTGTTGTTGTTGGTTGGATATTTTCATAACCTCCATCTTGTCTATGTTCACATGGAGACCTGTCTTCGCCGGCTGCTTCTTCGACCAGTTTGTCGGTCGGTTTTCGCTCGCTTGTAAGTCTTCGGTTTTGTAACAGTGATATAAATCATCCAGGCGCGAAATCCAGGTCTTGTAGGTTCTTCACATCGGTCCAGGATATTCCTGTCTTCTCGTTTCGTACTGTCTGACGCATAATCCAGTCAGTCCACTACAATTAGGAATATCATTGGCGATAATAAGCCAGCACCCTTGTCTGACTCCTGTGTTTACTCCTAACGCCTTGCTGAGTTTTCTGTTGTGGATAACTTGACATGTGCCGCCGTTGTCGTACAGCTGTTGGATGAGGTTATTGTTTATATTTTTAGTATTTTCAACATATTTTTATGCTTTGAAGTTTCTGTAGCGATTTGGTTAAGTTTTGGAGGGTGGAGTTACTAGCACCACGCTCCAACCCACTCTTTTTAACCGGGCTTGGGATCGGCTAGAAAACTAGTGAGCTAGTTTAATCTAGGCGAGGTTTTCAAGGTAATTTGATATTGTAATCTAGTGAATATAACGTGTATTTGAAACGATAGATTATGAAGGCTATAAAGTTGATTGCACCACATGGAATACATATTTTATGATTTTCTTTCCTATTAAAAAATATTAATCTGTTTGTCAAGTTTTGTCGGTTTACAGGGAGATATAATTGATTTTTAAGGTACACTGTCACAAACTGAAAGTAGTTAAAAAAAAAACCCACTATTGAAAGCCAGGAATCACTGACCAACTGTTTTATCCCAGTTTAGGACTCTTTTTTTATCAGTTTGCACTAAGTGAGCACATTCACCACACTGAGTCAGAGTTTAAATCCACTAGTTCCTGGATTCTAGACGAAATTCTGTCAAATCGTGATATAACCGCATTATTTTCTAATGGTATTTCTCCTCATAATCGGCCTTCGTGGACCTCGTCGGCCATGATCTACTATACGATTTCAGGAATTCCATTGCCTAGTCAGTTACTAATGAGCTGTAGGAATTTGATTTCGCGATACGATTTCTTCATGAACGGATATCACTTAATGGATCACTAAAAATCACAAAAAATTAGATAGTCGTTTCACATCCTAGTTCAGTCAGTGAATGTTATATATGACCACCTTATCGTAGAAATGAGTCTCTGTCTGTCTGTTATCAACATAGAACTTTGCACTGATATCCAGCAGTTCAAGTCGCCACACTCCCTCCATGTAGCACACAAAGCAACAGAAGAAAGTACAAGAAATGCATAATAGAGACAGTAAACAGAGATATCAGGCAAAAGGAATAGTAATAACGAAGAACAATATAGTTTCATTGGGAATCATAAGTCACAAGGAGTGGATTTATCTGCGCCAGCCAGCCATTGAGAACGATCACTTTGAGCCATATCACCAATTGTTTCCAGCCTTCATCGGTTTTTACTGTCCCGAGGACCCCAACCTGTCAGGAAGTCTACACCTTCCTACTTGGCTGGCGTAAACTAACTGTTGTGGATTTTATTGACTGATGAAGCCATATTTTGGTTTGACCACCGCTAGCTCTTTTCCAGCCTGACCCTATATCAGCTAACACTGCCCGTTGGACGAGGAAGGCGATGACTAAGCACACGTAACACATGTCCTAACCATCTCAGTCGATGTAGCTTCACAGCCTCGTCGATTGATTTCCCCTCCTTACCTAACACTCGACTGAAGCCTAACCTCAGTCTTGCTCACCTCTATTACACCAACCACTTCACACGGGAGATAGAACGAAGGCACCTATGATCAGATACAGCTAATCTTTTCATGTCTTCCACTCTCAATGGCCAGGTCTCACTCGTAGCCATTAAGGAGGAGGGAGCGGACTGATGAGCAGTACACCCACCCTTTGGTCGACAGCCAGCTAGCCGGATATCACGTCTACTAGGCCAGAGACGGCGTAAACTGGCATATGCGAAACAAACCTTCTGTATCCGTGATGAGATTTCGTCAGAGATCAACCCGTTGTCGTTGGCTGATGGTACTTCCCAGATAAGTGAAGCGGTCAACGTGCTCTACCACTTCACTTCCTATTTCCAATCTAGGAGTCGGTGTAGTCCAGTACTGTAACATCATCTTACATTTGGCGGGAGCGAATCGCATGCCAAACATTCGAAGATTGCTGCTCAGCTCAAGGTGTTCAGAAGATTGTTCTCAGTTTTGTCAGCGTCCTCGCCTAGAAGGACTACATCGTCTGCATATTCTAATTCAACGAGATTATTCCCTCCCTGGTAGCAAGCCAATCCCTGAGTCGTTGAAGTGCGTCGGTGGCACAGTGGTTAGGACTCTCGCCGACCATGCACATGGTCCGGGGTTCGAGCCCACGCCGGCGCACACCTGATATCTATGGTCGGCCTGCAAAATTTGGGCTACAGATATCCATGCTGAAAATTCCATACTTTTACGAAAAATACAGTGTGGAATCAAGCTGTAAATCAAAAATCAAATCAAAGTGGTTTAGGGTTAATTCCACTAGTGCATCCATGATGAAGTTGAATATAAATGGGGATAATGGGCGTCCTTGACGGATACCACTAGTCGTCACCATTTCAGATGATAACTCACCGTAAGCCGTCACCTGGCTGCATGAGTACGAGTAGAGTACCTTAATCAGTGCAATGCATTTTCTCGGCATTCCCTTTAGAAATGAATAATGCAGATTATCTATTTGCAGTCAGAACCAGCCTTACACAATGAGTAAGTAAGGTTACTGGATTATTGTTCCTTTGGGTTGCTAATGGAACATAGGTTTTCACCAGCACATCTCCACTTCACTCTCTTCTTCTTTGTAGTGTTTTTCAACTGGGTCTAAGATTGATTGTAAGCTTTCATTTTCTTTTCACACGATATCCTTCATGTTACTACCTTAGAACCAACGCCAAAACCTCGTCGTTCCACATTCGGTGTCTCGTGTCTGGCGCGTAGTGTCACTCAGCGGTGGTCTCCTCGGCGTATGTCCAATCCATTTTCATTGCATTCTCCATTTCTCCATTTCTGGGAGATAAGTTGTTGATTGGCTCGTTATCAAAGTTCCTTGTTGCTAATCCTTTCCTATCGTCTAAGTAATCTTCAGTATGGAGCCAGTGACGGCAGCTGTTGGTAAAAGTCTGCATTAGGCTGTTGTTGTCGCACTAAGTCTCCCAACCATACAGTAGCAAGGACTGACATGATAATAATGTTTAAAATCTGAATCTTGCTCCGTATGTGTTGAGTACGGCAGATTTCGACACTCATTTTCAGACTAATGAAGGTCTGTCTTGCTTTTCCGATCTAATCATGACTGGCTTTGACATTCTCATCTCTGATGTCTGTTTGTCTTTGAAATAATACTGTCTAGATAAGTGAAACAAGCGAATTCCGTTGATATTGACTGATGTTTGTTGGTGTTATTGTTGATTAGGTACCTTCATTACCTGTGTCTTCTCTATGAGCAATTGAGGTGCTGTCTCCGCTGCTTCTTCTGCCAACCTATTAGTTTTCGCCTGTAGATCCACGACTTTGTGATATATATATATATATATATATATATATATATATATATATATATATATATTGAAGGTCAAAATAACAATGAAGATCAATAAACCAAATAAGAGAGATAATAGTACATCTGCCCTGGCTGGTGTCAAAACAGTACCAAGGAAGGTTTAGTGTGATTAGGAATTGTTGGTTTGGACGCATAAAGGTGGTTTAAACTTCCTAATTGCTAGCTGGGGCTTTCGCAAACTTAAGGATACTGTCTGTCTGTCTGTTTTCGACATAGAACTTTGCACCGATGTGCGGCAGTTCGAGTCGCCACACTCCCTCCATGTAGCACACAAAGAAACAGAAGAAAGTAGAAAAAATGCATAATAGAGACAGTAAACAGAGATATCAGGCAAAAGGAATAGTAATAACGAAGAACAATATAGTTTCATTGGAAATCATAAGTCATAATGAGTGGATTTATCTGCGCCAGCCAGCCATTGAGAACGGTTTTGAGCCATATCACCAATTGTGCCTATGTTCCAGAATCTGTCGAAGAGTGAAGATATAATCAATACACCCTCTTCCTGATCTAAAGCCTCCATGGTTCTCTCGTGTTTGTGCGTCCCGAGCACCACTTAGTCTACGCATTATTATTGAGTCTAGAACTTTAGATACCATATTAGTCAAGCTAATCCCCTATGATTATCACAGAAAGACTTGTCTCCCTTCTTGCATATCGGGATAACCAATGCTTTACACCAGCGTGACGGGACTTCTTCTGGATTCAACATAGAACTTGCCACCGAAGTGCAGCAGTTCGAGTTGCCACCTTCCAAATAGCACTTAAAGGTAGACAACAAGATGAGTGAAGAGAATCAATAGAGTTTGACAGGTATAAGAGCGAAACAGAATGGGTAATGGTAGAAAGGAATATGAAAGATTACAGAGACTGAATACATCTGCGCTGTCATTGACAACGATTTCGAGCCATGTCACCTATTGTCTCCAGCCATTGATTCCTTGAGTCCCGAGGCCCCCAACCCGGGAGTCTGCATCTCCCTACCTGACTCAGTTTAACTGTCAAGGATTTCATAGATTGATGCCATGTTTTTGTTTTGGGACTTCCTCTGATTCCCAGACGCTGCCTAATATCTTATATAAATTACAAAAAGAATAGCTTTTTTAATTGAATTATTTTTGTACCATTATAATTAATTTTTGCCATTTTGATTGTTGTTATGCTCCCTGATTCTTTCTTTGTTTCTTTCTTCCCCTATTTCAACACGTGTAGCAAAGACTTGTCGGTGGAATACGCGGCACTGTAGCGCATGACTAATGTTGTGTGGAGATCGTCTTTACCGAAATACAAATCAATGTTCTCTCTCTCCCTCTCTCTTGTTTGTTGTCAACAGAATTTGACCAAATCACTCTGATTTATACACTTGTACACATGAATGAAATACTTAAAGAAAAAAATACAACAACAAAAAAACAGCATTAACAATAATAAATAATTCACCATTATGTTTATTGCTTATTCATGTAAGTTTTGTATTTAGTTGTTTATATGTATATTTTTTTAATTGGTTAATTAATTATAATTTCTAAAAGGCTTCATCATTTTTAATAAGGGTCAGGATTTGATTTTTATCTATTAAGATACACACAATGGGCACCAAAAGGATGCGTCACACAGTCTCATAGTTTGAGCGAGGGCTGCAGGATGCTACCCACCTGACTGAATCAGGTCGTGTTGTCTTGAGGGGCCAATTCACCCTTCTCCGTCCACCCAGCCTTCGACTTGAATTCCGTTCCATAAGGCAGTATAGTACAGCGTCAGGAGCTAGGTTTCCATGGTTGTTGGTAACCGAAACAGGTTCATACGTCTTTTGGATTTTGGAGTAAGGGTTTTTCAGCTCCCTCTAGGTGTGTGTGTGTGTGTAGACCTGAATGTTTACCAGACAGGTTGTAAGTACCAGACGTTTGCACTCACTTTAATTGAGGAACACACTCCAGCCTCCGTGTGAAGGTGGTGAATAGGACTTATCATGCAGAGGAAGACTATGAATGCGTGAATGCTACATGGGAAGCATTGCCAGAGGAAGACCAAAGTCTCTCCACCTTCTGCTGTACCAGGTGATTTATGGGGGGCAAGGATAAGGCATAAGGTCTTTGGCATACTATGAATTTAACTGAAAACTTACAAGGACAATTAATGTCATGTGGTAGATATCATTTAACGGGGTTCTGCAACAATCTCCCTTAAACTAACATAGTTATATGTGAGAAGAGTATGTGTCAGTAACTAGTAATTTTGACAGATTATGCAAGATGTAGAAAAGAAAGTTGAAATATATATTCTATACAAGTGTAATTTGTAATTCCATTATGGGTTTTGATAAAGCCTCACAGTGTTATACAGCAATGTTTACTGATTACGTTTCGAGCACAATTTATTCATCATAATCCTATCGTATCACCTTGATATGATCATCAGCAAACATTACTGTATAACACTATGAGACTTTATCAAAACAAAATTCATCCATAATGGAATTACATTCTACCACAGTGCACAAGTTTTATTCTTATATCAAGTATAATTTGTCCTGAAGATAAATTATCTAGATCATATTAGTTTGTTTAATAGATGTATCACACAGTGAAACAGTGTTATTTACTGGATGACATTTCGAACAAAATTTATTGTTCATAATCATATCAATTATAATCACACGACTTTAAAACTTGAGTTTTATAGCCTTCCTTGTTTTCTCCTATTTGCCGTCGTAGGGGCAGTAGAATTTCCCAGATATCTGCCTGGACAGGTGTTGAATCATTTCTATTACACGTACTCTCTCTCAGTTGATTCGATAAACAAAGCTTCTGTTATCAATCCCTCCCTCCATCCTGTGACATTAGATTTTAAAACTGTCATCCTATTCCATCCTATTGTATGGTTGTGTGTAACTGCATGTAGTGAGTGCTATCTAAAGCTGAACTATTCTGTAGATTTATTTTATTTGGGTCAACCAATCTAGATTTTTTGCTAGGTTTTTATGTTCAGCTCGTCTGACTGCCCCTGTTCTACTAGTTTAACCTATGTATGTGATCTGACAATCATTCCGGTAGGGTATTGGATAAACTAAATTGTTTTGTTTTAAGCTCTCCACAGGATCCTTTAACCGACAAAGCTTGTTTCTAAATGAGTTTGTGGTTGGTTTGCATGCTAGCCACTTTTATTTTTGCCTTGTTAAGAATTCTGCGTAAGGCTTCCTAGGTTCCTTCCTTGTATGGAATTGCTACTGATGATTTAGATTCCTTATTGGTGTCGTCATTAATAATATGTCTTATCAAAGTATGATGCTGGACTTCTATACATATATATCCGCACAACTCTAGGTAATCTTGTAAAAACTCTGTTATTTTAATCGTTTCGATACTATTAGAGAAAATACCGGCGAGATTGTTAGAAATACGATGCGCTTACCCCGAAGGCTGTGAGATGTGGGCTTCATAACTTAAAAATCTTCATCGACTTGTAGTTTGGTAACGACACAGTTTTAAAAAGTTAGTTTTCAGGGATTTGATTGATCACGAACTGATCTCAGAAAATCACTGAAGACTAAGGGGAGTACAGGGTGGTAGTTGTTCCAGCCTAGTTTGGTACTTCGACAGTACACACTCATGACCCCGTTGGTGATGAAGTCCAGTAACTTCAGGTTACGAAGAGAGTCTGTTGACTATTCAGCCAAACTTGGGATGAATGAAATCCCTACAAACTAACTCTAACCTTTGAAAACCAATTCTGGTGACTGTATTTGACCCTGCTTAGATTTATCAATGGTATTTCGTTTCAAAATTATTTTCTGTCAAGGGTTGGTTCTCTTGGATCTGATTGGGTACAGGATTGATAACGAGGTGACATTATTTAGAGAAACAATGGAAGACCTGGGAGTACTGGACGACCGTTTCGTCCTAATCTGGGGCTCTTCATAAGCACGGGGTGCGAACCGCTGGGACCCGGCCCAATTGCCATCCATGAATTCCAAGTTCTGCTGATTCATAATGTGTATTTGGTGAAACTGCCAGCTGATGTCACGGGCGAGTAAAACTATCCCGTTTTCCTACTTGGTGGACAACTCCTCAGGTTACGATTTCTCTCTAGAACCCCAGGTACTTCCTGTACAGGAGTAGTCACTAGTGAGCATCAGATTAATTGTCAAGTTATTGATTTGCAGAGAATTGATTGATTTACAGGATAGGTAACGAGCTGACATCAGTTCAAGAACTGGAAGCTCCTGGATTCGAACCCTGTTAGATGCGTACTGATGAAGATATTTCAAACAATTAGTCCCTTTTATAAATTTTGATAGCGTTATTAGAAGACGGAGACTATCTGAAAAATGTAATGTATTAGCGCTATACATTTCGAACAATCTGATCATACATTTACTTGTCAAGTCAATATATATAGAAAGGCTAAATTAAACTAAGTGAGAGAAAACGGAATTAAGAATAATTAACACAAACGTTTGGTAATCCAATCAAATAATAATCACATCCCATACAATTTACCAATTTTCGTGTGTGTGTGGACATACATACATAGGGAGGAGTGATTGCGCTTCGCACGTGAGGGTGGGAGAGCATATCCCAAAACGGTTGGAAAAACAGATGAATTGTGACAAGCTAATAGATGCAGGTAACAGACTACCAAATTCGTCTATAGCTAAACATCTAATCGAGATTAACCATAAGATTGATGTTAACTCAGCATTTAAGGTCATCTATGAAAACGGTCAAGGGCGTTTACTGAAATACGCTGAGGCTATAGCTATTCATAGACTTAAGCCCCCACCCTGTGTATTCAAAAACAGTTTGTCATTAGTCTTAACCTACCTTGGTAATCCTTATTTGATTGGATTATCAAACGTTTGTGTTAATTATTCTTAATTCCGTTTTCTCTCACTTTGTTTAATTTAACCTTTCTATATATATTGACTTGACAAGTAAATGTGTGATCAGATTGTTCGAAATGTATAGCGCTAATACATTACATTTTTCAGATAGTCTCCGTCTTCTAATAACGCTATCAGAAGATATTTCAAACTAGGACTGGGGTTTTCCAGTGGTTCTCTAACTGATATCGTCTCGTTATCATTAGACTCATGCACAGGTAAAAGAAACCATCCAAATAGTATATATTGGTTAATTAATTAATTACCGAAAACTTTCACTATAATTTATTTTCAACAATCAGACCTTTTGATAATAATTTAGTTAGATTCAATTATTAAGCTGAGGTATAGAGTCACTTTTTTCATAGCCTCTTTTGATATGTCAATCAATTCAAGTATTGGTAGTATAATGATATTTGTTCTCGAAGTTGTTTACTCTGTCTCTTTCTGTTTGAGTTTACTATTCTAAGTAAACAATACGCAGTCGTTTGTGTTTGTTTAAACTGGTTGTTTATTATGCCGTCATTAGTAGTAACACTGTGTCTGTTTCCCTGTATACACATCAGTTTTGAATTATGCATATGCATGCACACACGTTTATTGGATTATTGTATGTAACAATAATATGGTTGGAAGAGAAGTTGAAAATCAGGTACGTGGAACAACTGGATGACTGGATTTCAGCATAGAACTTTGCACTGATATCCAGCAGTTCAAGTCGCCACACTCCCTCCATGTAGCACACAAAGCAACAGAAGAAAGTACAAGAAATGCATAATAGAGACAGTAAACAGAAGTATGAGGCAAAAAGAATAGAAATAACGAAGAACAATATAGTTTCTTTGGGAATCATAAGTCACAAGGAGTGGATGCATCTGCTGCACCAGTCATTGAGAACGATCAGTTTGAGCCATATCACCGATTGTCTCCAGTCCTCATTGGTTTTTTACCGTCCCGAGTACCCGGTGCACTTTAAATTGTTGATATTAGATCGTTGAAGGTAATCGGTCGAAAACCTCTTTCGACCTAGATTTCGTGCTAGTTTGCACTTACCAGTCAGTAAGGCATATCGTCAACCTTGAAGGAAATCATGTTCTTCCTTCTGAAATTCGAACCCGTGCTACAGTCAGAAACAAAGTATCCATTACGGTCCTGAAGACGAGATCAATCACGAGCCCGAGTAGCTCGATGACACGTGTTCGAATCTCAGAAGGAGGGGCATGAATTCCTTAAATGTTGCAGATTTGCCTTGCTGACTGACTGGTGAGTGCCGACAAGCACGAAACCTAGGTCACGTAAAGCTTTCTGCCAATCACCTTGAACCATCGAATATTGATAACAGAAGTTTGTTCAGAAGTGCACACCAGTTGAAGTT